AAGATCAAGCTTTGGAGTAAAAATGAGCAAGTACAACACCTCTTCTTCAAAATTATATTTAGTTACTGATCTATCTGTGAATTTAAAACTAGGATTAGTTAAATTACAACCATTTAAAACATTTCGACATTAATTAGGTCTTGTTTATAAAGGATATTTCAGCACTCTGTGGATGAATATTAGCACCGTGTGTTGTTTGCTTTTGGTATTTTTAACATTTAGAGAAACAGATGGTCTGTTATTCATTTTCTGTTATTAATTTTAATAAGCAGGTTCCTGACTGAGTCTGTGTTTCCTTGCAGAAATCAAAGACGGAGGCTGTGTATGAAAATATCCCCAAGAAACGATGATCAAATACCATAACTGCAGTTCGTGCTCATATGAGCTTTTGGTTTTGTCTACATTTATTCTCTGTAGTATGTCTGTATTTGTTTTCGCTCCTGTTTTTTCCCCCCGCACAAACACTCCCATGCACATATTGTAATGTTTGAAATATTGTTGCTCTGTATTAGTTTCACAAATAGCATGCACAAATATGACTACGAAGTTCTATTTTTAGCTTATTATATGCGATTATAATGATATGTTGTTTGTCATTTACTGCATTTGTTTTTGGTTTGCATGTGTTTAACAACAGGGGTTTTCAAACGTGTCCTGGAGGCCCCAGACTCCCTTATCTAACACAATTGATTCCCCAAAACATTTTGGTTCTAAGAACATTTTCCAAACACTCCATTTTGGTTATGGGAATGTTGATATGTCCAGTTTTCTTAATGTTAGTGGATCTTTATTATTATTTAAGGTTAGTATAATGTTCTTGAAACATTCTTTCTACTTATTTATTAGCAACTCAATATTCTATGGCGAGTTGTTCAAAAGTAATCTGATCAGATTTAGGTTATTGGATTGGATCAAATCTTGAAAATGTTCCAAAAAAAAAGGTCTCTGAAATCAGATTAGATCACAAAAGCCAATCTTGGTTTTGATCTGGATCGAATCATCAGTTTGTGCTGATCATTCTGATCCAGATTAAGATTTTTGAACAACTGGCCCCTATAGGGACATTGATTTGTAATATTCCAAGAACATAAAAATGTCCAGTTTCCTTAATGTCAATAT